GGCCACAACAATTCAAAAGAAAAAAATATGTAAGTTGTTAAAAACAATGTTCATAAATATAGCTTTCCATGACTGACTTTAATTCTCTAAACTACATACAGAATGGTTTAAAATTCTTCATTTTTTTTACCTGGTTCATTGGACCTGTGCACTGAAATATTCAAATACAAAGGAATGATGCATGTACCGAAGATGTTTGCCATCAAAACGGTTGGCTTGCAGAATTTCAATACACTGGATGTGATTAGCTTTAACACTTCAGCCTTTTGTAAACTGTCCAGTAAATGCAGCAGCTCTAAAATGGCAATATTTTATTAAAGAAGCTTCCTGCCGTATTTAAATATTGTCTAAAACAGAGGTCACAAACCTATATTCCTCAAAGCCCTCCCTTCTTCCAAGACAAGCTGAGATTCCCTCCCACCTCCAAATGCTTGCTACCTCACAGCAAGGCTTTTTGTGTTTTTGCAACCATGTCTTTTTCTTTAGAGTTGATTATTATTATAGATTTTTTTTTGCTGTCTATCATTATGTAGCACTAATCAAACAGAAACTCTGATTCTGGAATCTGCAGCCAGCACATTCATATTTAATACTGCATAGGTCTTCCTAACACATCTGAGCAGTCCAGGCCTATTTGGAGGATGGATCTTTTCCTCCGTCTGCTCTGTCGGGCGCCAGCGGGGGAGAAAAAAAAGCCTCATTCCATTTTGAGTGATGATGGAGGGGTGCAAGAAACTCACCTGGAATTGATCATTGTCTTGTCAAATTTTAATTTTGTCTGCAGTTGAGCAGATAATTAGATCTAATTTTACCACAGCTAAAAGAGCACGGAAGCTCTTTATAGCTTTCATGAGCTGATAAAATCTGACCAAAAAGTAGAAACAAAAATGTCTTCCTCTCCTTTTTATTTTAATGCAGTTTAAGTTTTTTATGAGTTGACAGAAAAAAAGATTTAATTTTACAACAAAAACAAATTAAACCTGTTCTTRTGTGTTTTGACCCATCAGAATTTTCTCGTGTAGGAGGCCAGTTGTTCTTGCTGAAACTGCAGGATGAAAAGATGGCACACTTCCTTACACCACCAGGTCCAGACAGCATGCACCCCTTCACTCGGGAGTCCCTTAAAGCCATCGAGAGTCGGATTGCTGAGGAGAAAGCCAAGAAACCCAAAGGAAAAAAGAAGAAACTCAAGAATGAAAATAAGCCCAAACCTAGCCGTGATCTGGAGGCGGGCAAGCCCCTCCCTTTTCTCTATGACCTCCCTCAAGGCCTGGTGTCAACGGCCCTGGAGGACCTGGATCCCTACTACCATAATCAGAAAGTAGGTCTAATGAATCTCACTTCCAAATGCTCAAACAAAAGATTAGATACAGATTTTCGTTTTATCTTTTCATGCTTGGAAACTGCTTGGATACATTTCCTTCTTAATCATGACTTTTATAGTGAAAAAGTTGCTAAAATACTTACTGCAYGTACAGTTTCAGGTCTGAAAAACATTGATTTGATTTTCATAAACTGTGATGAGTTTACAGGTTTTGCCAATAATTTTGTGTGATGCATTGTGTTTTTCTTTTTCTTTCAGACTTTTATAGTAATAAACAAAGGAAAATACATTTTCCGCTTCAATGCTGCTTCTGCCTTGTATATCTTGAGCCCCTTCAATTTTATAAGAAGATTATCAATCAAGATTTTGGTACACTCATATCCTTGCAACAAGTAATGTTTACAGTACTTGTAAACTGGGTTTTGCTTGGTGTGATAATTATGTGTCAGCACAAGTCCTTGATGTCGCTTTATATTTTTTAGCTCAAAATAAAATTCTCATTGTCATATTTATTTTGTTTTGCATGCATATTTGTGTCTCTTTTAACAGACTTCCAATCATATTAAGGCATCTAAGGCTATAAAAACCTTTTGACTTATGCTGTTGACAATGAGGACTTTGTTTTTTTCACTCAGTTGCTGAATTGGTTCTAATATAATCTATTCTTTTTCATATTCTACTTTTTATTATTATTTGTGATAATGACTCTGAATACTTGTTGGCAATTAATTCAACATTCTGCTGGAATATTGACAAAAGCTATTTTATTTTTTGGATGATAGTATGCCTAGTAGTCATGGCTGACWTTTAGCATCTAATTCTGACACATTGCTATAAAACACAGACATATTGATCAATGCCCACTGTCCATATAAATGTATAAATAAATCAAGTGAAATGGCTACTGAAGGGTTTGAAGAGGGAGCCAAAAGTTTTGTCATTTGGCTTTTCTCTATGATAACTGAGAATGAGCTGCAAACCTAACAAGATCATTAAGGTCTGAGATGTCTGTAAAGCTTTTTGAGAACTAAAAACGTTCGTGCTGTGCCCCAGCTGTCTGTTTTTCCCCCTTTCAACATGTTTTTTTATCAAAACAGTTTAGTCAAAGAACTTCCCAAAGTATTGCATGAGAGTGCATGTTGCATGAGAAAGAAACATTTCACATAATAAGTATTAGTTTCTTTAACAACCTTGTATAAATGGTTCAGCATGTTGATCATGCTCACAATCCTTGTCAACTGTGGATTCATGACTCTGTCCTCACAGCCTGACTGGGCAAAGAACGTAGAGTAAGTTTTCATTTACGTCTACATGTACTTATTATAAACTATGATGTCCAGAGTAAAACAATTTATTTTCTATCAGGTACACATTTACTGCAATCTATTCTGCTGAGTTCCTGGTTAAAGTTTTAGCCAGGGGATTCTGTATAGGAAAGTTCACCTTTCTAAGAGATCCCTGGAACTGGTTGGATTTCTTTGTCATTGTCTTGGCGTAAGTATAACATTTGAACACAGTTTGAACCCATGTTTAACTTTAAAAATAAAAATGGCCTGTCTCCTGCAGGTATGTCACTGAGTTTTCCAAAGAAATTGGAAATTTGTCGGCTCTTCGAACATTCAGAGTGCTAAGAGCATTCAAAGCAATTTCAGTCATCCCAGGTGGGCATTACACTTCAATGCATGGTTGTCACTTCTCAATTCATAACCCCCCCCCCCCCCCCCCCCCACACACACACACACACACACACACACACACACATTTCCTGTCCTCCTGCAACACTGACCTAAACTGTCCACCCCAGTGTTGCACACTTTGCGTGTTTCCAGCAGCATAGTTGTTTGTTGCTTCTTATTTGTGGGATTAAAAATATATATCCTGTTATGTAAAATGTATTGTTGAACAGGTATTTACCATCTTTGTGCTGTTTCAACCAGTTCAATCTATTGGTTCATATTAATATTATTTGTATATTTATGTGTGTGTGTGTGTGTG